GTGTGTGTGTGTGTGTGTGTGTGTGTGTGTGTGTGTGTGTGTGTGTGAGTGATTTGGTGTGGGAGGCTTTTTTGTTCTTTGTGTTCACCTTTTTGTTTGTATGTTCAAAAATCAATAAAAAAAAATACTTTGTTTAAAAGAAGGAATAAAGGGCTAAAATCCAAAAGTAGCAAAATGCTAGCTATGAGCCAAAAATTGCAAAGAGTAACAAAAAAAAATGAAAGTAGCAACGGATGCAGTTCTTAACATCAGCACATCGGCCCAGCTGACCCACTCCATGCCCGCTGATTTCACACCTCCAGATTCTCCTCAGCTGGAGTCGTCAGTTTCTTACTTCCCCTACTTCAACTCCTTATATTTGGCAGTGGCTGTGTCGCTCAATGGAGGGAACATGCTTGCCATGTTTGTGGAGACATTCAAGTCTTGATGAGAGAGCTTGGTGTGGAGCTGACGGACTCGTGTTTGTATGAGAAGTTGATCACCTGCGCCCTGAAGCAGGAAACCAGCCACCTGAGGGTGAGTCCCAGAATCCTGGGGGAGAGGCATGCCCCTCTGAGTCTGGGTTAGGTGACCAACATCTCCACCTCCAATCTCTCCCTGGGTCACATATTCAGGGCGCTCTGCCATGGCGTGCTGACAAACATCTCCTCCATGATGCCTGCGGAGCGTCTGCAGCAGGTGAGAGTCCTCAGGATCGTGGGAAGCGGGAGTGCCCTTGCTCGCAACCAGGTGCTCTGGCAGAAAGTGGAGAAGGTGTTCCCTCTGCAAGTGGTGTACGGACAGAACACAGACTCTGCAGCCGGCATGTCCATGATTGTCTACGACCGGCTTTGAACATGAGTTTTATCGACTGGGAGGATCCCTGTTTGTTTGCTTACAGAATGAACTGAGATTTTTGCACAAATCTGAATACAGTTTGTTAAATTAAATTACTTTACTGTAAAGATTAACAGATTTTGCCTAATGAAGCAGAAGCTGTGATTTCCAGGAGAAACATCTGAAGAGTTTTGCCAGAAAAGTTTTTGATTCATTAAAAAAGAGCAAGTACATTCATCAGAATGAGAGCAAATCTCAAGACTTAAAACACATGTTCTGTTTTTAACTTCACATCTTCTTGTCGTGTTAATAAATAACTGCAACAAGTTCATGTCGATTTTTGTACAAAATAAAACCTCAAGCGAGCCACAGGTGTTACTGTGAGCTGCTCAGGTTTTGACTGAAACAATTTTTTGAACAGAAAGTTCTTGCTCTCTGCTTCCTGATCAATAAAACAATTTAACTCTAGAAAAAAAATCTATAAGTAGCCAAGTGTTAGCTAAAAGCTAAATGTCAATGTCAATTTATTTATATAGCACATAAAAAACAACAAAAGCTGACCAAAGTGCTTTACAGTTAAGACAGATTAAAAAATTAAAAAAAAAAAGAGTAAAAATGCATCTAGTGCCACTCAAAAACACAAGTTGACAATAAAAACAACACATAATAAAATCAGCTCAACTTGTTCTCAGACTCTGCGTGGATAAAATGTAACCAAATGGTAGTTCATGGTAAAAGAAGTAACAACGTGTCTTTGTCTAAAGGATTGACTACGGCGACAGCTACTGGAGGGTAAAGACAAAGTGCTTCAGCTGTCAGTGTGGATCTGTGAAGTGTCGTTACTCGGCTGCCAACACATAGAACCTTCCAGATGATCTGCTGTCCATCCAGCTGGATCTCTCAACAGATAGTACCTTCAAGATGACCTGCTGTCCATTCATCTGGATTTCTTACTGGAGTCCTTCTTGGGACTGGGAATAAAGCACATTATTTACTGGAAATTAATCCAGTTCCCAACTTTTAACTAGAAAAAGAAAATTTCTACAAATCACAAGCTTGAATTGATTTACAAATGTGCAGATTGGGTAAGTGACCTGAAATGGTTTCATAACGGTAACCTTTGTAGAATTAACACAGCAAAGTCTAAAAAAGTTCAATCTGGTCCTTTGGACATTCAAAAAAAACAAACAACAACAAAAATAGAAACGTTTTGTCTTTCATCCGAAAGATTTCCTCAGTCTGAGGAAGGCTTTTGGATGAAAGACGAAATGTTTCAACATTTTTTTGTTGTTGTTCTGCTTTGTTTTGTTTTCTTGAATGTCCAGATTTAGATTTAACTTTTTTTACACTTTTCTACCTGGATTATTGAGCATGCATCAGAACACAGCAAAGTGTTACAATAGAGTCTTCATAACAAACCTTATTTCTTGGCAGTCTGGTTAGTTTTTATTAACACTTTGTTACCTTGTTTGTTTTGCAAATAAAACTTTTAAACTTCTGTTTGTCCTGTTTTTTTGTTTTGTTTTTTGTGTGTGTGTGTGTGTGTGTGTGTGTGTGTGCCTTTGAAGAGGGACCATTCTTCACCATTAACACTGTCATTCATGTCGGGGGGTTTCAGGTCCGAGATCTGTTACTGTGTGATCTAACAGGTTACTTTCAGTTCAATTCAGTTTATTTATATAGCGCCAATGTCATAAGTGGTGTTTTAAAGGTTGAACCCAAGGTTGCAGGCAGGACACTGAATGCTCCAAAAGTCAAAAATCAAAATAATTTATTCAATAAATGTGCTGACGTGGCAGAAAAACTCACATTTACAGGTGATCCTGGGAAACAGGGAGCAAGGTTGGCATGAAGAGACAATGACCGGCTGACAAGGAGTGAGGAACACAGGCTTAAATACACACACTAATGAGGATAATGACAATCAGCTGGGAATGATGACAGGTGGGAGCAGGAAGAACACATTAAGAGGAGACAGGAGAACAGGACTAAGACACAACAGAAGAGGGAGCCAGACACCAGAAAAACACAAACCCTACAGCCAAGTCACAACAGAAGTCGTCTCAGGGCACTGAACAGAAACATTCACATACAGTATACAAAATAAATTAACACTAATTATCTGAGGAGCAGACTACTTTGAATTTAACCCCCATTGCAGAACTCTCATCTTGAGCAAGCCCAAAGACAACAGTGGAAAGGAAAAACTTCCTCATGAGGAAGAAACCTTTAGCAGAAATAGGCTCAGGACAAGTGGCCATCTGCTTCGACCGGCTGGGTTTGAGAGGAACATACACAATGGCAGGTCAGGAATCACATTAAGATAGAAACATTATCAAATGAAAACTATTCAGTTTTAACAATTCATTTAAGGAAATTAGGTCAGTTTGTCTTCTAGTAGTCTAAGCCTATGGCAGCATAACAAGCCAACCCTAAGGATTTATCAAAAAGGAAAGTCATAAGCCCAGTCTTAAAACTGGACAATGTGTCAGCCTCACAGACAGAAACTGGAAGTTGGAGCTACATAAAGTTGCCAACTCCTTGAAAAATAAATAAGGGACGCCTCATGGCAGGGCTGGTCAACCCCATTACCTTTACCCCTACCAGCATGATGATTCACCTCTCCTCCCCCACTGCTTTTCTTGCTCTGAAATGAACCTTGAATTTAAATGGATACATGTTTTGGAATGATAAAAATATGCATAGAACATATTATTACGCAATTTAACAATTTATTTTGAGTGCAAATAGAATTACCTGAGTAAAATCTTTCTAAAAAGAATTTATCTTCAACATTCTTCTGTTCTGCTTAGCTTAAAACAGAATTAAATAACATAAAACAATAAGAACATTGGTGTAATAATGCATTTAGTGCAAAGTTTGTAAGAAATTTTGTTGTGTTCTGCTGAAATTGCGTTATAGCATTGAAAGGGCACTAGAAGGTGGTCTAAGACTGTTTAACCTTCCTAGCGTGGCGAGATCCTGCACGCACTTATGATGTGAACGGGTCAGTTGTGACCCGTCTTAAATCAGCCACAAAATACCCTCAAAACAGTGTTTTTTTAAGAAGTATTAGAACACATCTCTAAAATAAATTTGTCTTATTATTTTGTTATTTTAATATTATTAACCATAGTAACATTTATAGTGTTAAGGGTAAGTTTTGACCCATGTATATTTACGTCAAAAAAAGGAAGAAACATTTCTTTTCAAACATTGAACTTTAATACCAATATAAAATAAAAAGCAGAACAAGTAATAATAGAGTTGTGGGTGTGGTCGATGTTGAAGCCCGGCTGCCTGAAGGGCGTGTTGTCACTGATGCACTTTGTGCAGCTGATGATGTAGTTGGAGTGGTGCTCCGGAGCTGTCTCACAAGGTTCGCAGTGGCTGGGTCTCGGGGTATCCGTTCCCTTCTCTCAATGTATGGCTTGATCAACAAATTTCCTAGCTCCTGAAGGAACAATCTCCGCTTGTGGGTTTTTTTGGCGTTCCACCCCAAGTCAATCTGGGTCCACAAGACAAATGCATTGTATGCAGACACATCTAGGATGTTGTAAAATACAACCATTGGCCATCTCCTGGTCATTCGCTGGCAAGTGTAGGTGGCAGTCAGCTTGTCCAGGGTGTCCACTCCTCCTTTGTTTTTATTGTAGTCCAGGATGATTTCAGGCTTTTTGTCACTTCTTGTTGACACAGCTGCATCTTTGTGAAGAGTGGACATAAGTACCACACTCCGGTTCTTTTTGGGACAGTATGAAACAACACTGGTGGTTTCTGTAAAAGCAAATTTTGAAGACAGTGGAGCCCTGTCTTTCACCTACAAAATTTCAAGGGGCAGCTCAGGTTTGTTTTTTCTTATTGTGCCCACCATGGTAAGTTTCCTCTTGAGAAGTTCTTCTCCAAGATCATAGCTGGTGAAGAAATTGTCACACGTGATATTGTGACCCCGCAGTCCAGTAGTCATATCAAGGATTACCCGTTTTCCTTGATTCTTCTCAGGGATGCCAGCTGCAAGTTTGCCTGTGTAAATCTGTAGATTCCAGGCATAGCTGGTTTTCGCATCACAGGCTGCCCAGATTTTTATGCCATATTTGCCTGGCTTACTGGGCATGTATTGCCGGAAGGGGCATTTTCCACGGAAAGGGAGAAGACGCTCATCCACTGTCACCTCTGGTCCTGGGTTGAACATCAGTGGAAGGAGCTTCACCCATCTATCCCAGACGTCTTTGATGGGAGCAAGCTTGTCAGACCGTGCTCTAGTATCTCTGTTGTCAAATCTGAGGACTCTTGAGATCATTTGAAAGGTCTGAAGTGACATTGTTGCGCGGAAAATACTCCTGCCTGTGGACACATCCCAGAGACTAGTAAAGGCCTCATTGCTGGATCTGTACACGCCAGCGAGAAGAAGAACACCAATAAAAGCATCCAGGCACTCCTCATCAATGTCCTTCCAAGTGTCACCGTGAACTTTTTTCCCTTCGAGGTTTGTCATAGCAATGATGACTTTCTTTAGTGACAATGGCATAAACAAATCAAGGCATGTCTTGATGTCACTTACTCGTGTCACAGCAAACCTTGTAATCCCAGGGGTCATCTTCATAACATTTTCAGCAGCTTCCCTGCCATGTGAAACAGGAGGAATCGCACTCCAAGTGATGTTACCCTTTTTGGATTTATAGGTTTCAGTTACAGGAGCAGCTTCAGCACCTGTGCCCTCCTCATTCGACGAGTCTGTGTACTCTGATTCATATTCAATAGCATTGTCCTCCTCAGAAACTGGCTCATCTGTGTCACTAGGTGTGTCCTCTGCATCATTTTCAGCAAGGATGTGATCTAGAGCTTCTTGTACTGTGAATCTTCTCTTCATTTTGGTATGCAGCCAAGCTCTAGGTAAAATGGAGTGTCTGTTTCTACATGTCTCTACATGCCCATGTAGAGACACACCCAGGTGGGTGTGTCTGTCTAGGTCTGCATATCAAGATGGGCATGGCTATCCAGGTAGGCTTATCTCTACATGGGCATGCCTCAACATGTCTCTGCATTTACAGCTGGATGAACTTTTTCAGTTTTTGGGAGCAGAGTATGAGGGACTTATCAATAAAAGTAGTACGGATAAATGGGGATGTTTTGGTCAGTGAAGTAGCCAAACAGGTAAAAACAGAAGGCCCTAACATATGTATGACAAAGTTAGTGAGGTCACAGTGTGTTTATGATTTCAGTTTTGTCACTGATTATTGGTTGATAGTCTTATACCATAACTGGGTCACAAATGACCCCAGCGCGGCAAGTGCGTGTTGTTCTATAAAAAATAAAAATTAAATTTAGTGAAAAAAACAAACAATTTTTTTTATTTAAATAAAGGTTCCAGACAAAGTCAAAAAGCCTTGATGCAAAAAAAAATATTTAAAAGACAGTATCATGATTTAAAATTTAAAATGGGTCACTACGGACCCTAACATAGTAGGAAGGTTAAAAAGATGCTGTATGCAGGGAGATGAAGAATGAAAGTAAAGTAAAGAACTCACTTAACTCAATTCACTTCTGGTTCTGGTAAGCTGATGGACGGTAGCTCCCCTGACTTCTCTGTAGTCTTTTATCATCAAACTGACCCGTTTTTCGAACCAGACTAAAGTTGGTCCCCCTTCCAACCGAATTCGGTGTTCAGTGACTCAGAGAGCTGGACCGGACATCCAAAAAATGATTTCGGTCCAGGACCGGCCACTCCCACCCCACCGGTCACTCTGAGCACACCCTGCCGGCCAGGTGATCCCTCAAGCTGGGGAGTTGTTACACGAAGATAAGGTGTTTTTTCTCTTTCCGGACCCCAACTGAACTTTTCATCTGGACCTTTGTGGTTCTACCTGGTTCCGACAAGGATCGCTGGGTGGTATTTTGCTGGCTTTTTCGCTGGCTTTCTGCTGGACTG